CAAAGCCCATGCTCTAAGGCTAAATACTTTTACCATTATTCCAGATGGCCTCCATTAGGGTACAAGTTCTGTGAGGAAGGGGCTAGTTCTGTCTTTTTCACCATTGTATTCCTAGCATTTGGCTCATGCTTGGAATAGCAGCTCACATATTTATTGAGTGAGTCTCAGTTCAGGCCTAACTTACTCGCAGATCTGCACTGAGAAGATCCTGAGAGCTCAGTAAGTTTGGGCACCAAGAGGAAGAAAATGTCTTCCACTCTTGACAGGAAATAAGCAGTCACAGTAACTGATACTGCATTGCTAGAACTAACTTTTGAGAATTTTGTTCCAGAAATAGGAGGCTCAACCATCAACCCTGCCTCACTTCCATTAAAGCAGTACCCTCCCTAGTGCCTCCTTATGCAGCAGATGCCAGTTACATTGAGGCCTCAAGGAGGTGGGGGAAGAGTGGAAACAGAAATTAAGTATAGAATGGACTATTTCTGCAAAATGAAGTTGTAAATAATTTTTGATAGGATCAAAAACTGGTACTCAAGGATAAGTTTTCCAAACATCAGACAGGCTTTTTTTAACATTCTCCACCCTCTATTCAAAAATGTTTTAGAAAGTTGAATAGGTATTACCTCTACTACTGGACATACCTGCCTCAACATATTTTTCCTCATTAGAGAGCCTTGGTATCTTTTTGATGAAGGGACTATATGTCCAGAAATTTCTGCAGATACTGTGTAAAGTCCTCGCAAAGGATGAAAAGATTAAGCTGAGGATACCAAATACTGTAACAGACTTTGGTAATTATCATGTATATTTTTCTGGGCCCAGATGTAGCCTCGGCATATTTATCAATTTAATATTTCAAGCAGCCATCATTCCCACTAGATAAAATACTTTTTTGTCCCTGCCTAAGGCCACTCTCAGGGATAGCCTAGAAGATAATGGAACTCAGGGGATATCAGTAACTTCTAAGGGGAATAAGCAAAGGAAATATGCTGTGAAGTTCTGTAAAGAATGTAAGGAAATCCGTGAATGGGCTTTAATCTGCTCTATGTATATACTTGCACATCTAAATGTACTTCTTGGGGTGCCTGGGTGGTTCAGTCGTTGAGCATCTGCCTTCGGCTCAGGTCATGATCCCAGGGTCCTGGGATGGAGCCCCGCGTCAGGCTCCCTGCTCCGCGGGAAGCCTGCTTCTCCCACTCCCCCCGTGTTCCCTCTCCCGCTGTGTCTGTCAAATAAAATCTTTTTTAAAAAAAAAATGTACTTCTTGGAAACCATGGAAGCTATAAAGCAACTTGTGGGGTGAGAATGTTCCCCACTCTGCATGGAAGCCACTTCAATGAAGGCATTCATATAAAGCTTGTACTTTATGGACCTCACACCCTCCCCAATGTAGCCCCATCCATAGTATGTTCTCATTCCCACCAATGCTCCTAGGGAAAGCTAGATATAGCACATTTTCAACGAATTCTAACATGAACTTGAGCTTTAAGGAACAGGGAGAATATGTTTTCTGTTCTAGATGAAGCATTTTCTCCAGTGCGGCTTAGTTGTTAATAGCTGTCATTTAGCAACTGAGGGTACTTTTTTGCAAGCTGGCGGTCTTCAGTCCCTAGTTTGCCATATTGACTCCTACCCAAACATTGACATTGGAAAAAAAAAAAAAAAATCAGTAACTCACTTTTATTTGTTCTTTCAGCTCCTTTGAAGATTATGAAACAGAGGAACCTGTCTCTCCCTCTGAAATTGGAAACAAAGGCAATAAAAGTAAAATAGTAACCTCAAGCCTTTCAGAGAAATGTGGAAAGCTTCAGTCAGTGGATGAAGAGTAGCTGCCAAGGTCTTGAAAGAGAGATACGTATTTTAAATGTCTTTTTCTTGTGGAGATGCTCCAGTTTGCGTACTGCTTTTTAAAGGCTTTGATTTCTACAAGTGTGTATCTGCACTAGGATCTTTAAAACATTTTTAAGCAATAGGTTTGGATACACATACTCAATTTGGGGGACTCCTCCAATTTGCCTCAAACCTCTTGCAGAGCTTTTCCTCCAAATAAATACAGTGATATACACCTTCCAAAGTCTGTGAATCAGCACTCTTCACCCCTGAATGTACCAAGGATATCTCGGGGACAGTGCCAAGCACAGTTCTCTGCACAAAAGCAGGAGTTGCCTCTGTTGTCCAGCATCCCTGAGGCCCCTCAGGGCTCCTATGGAGCCCAGAAGAAACCTTCACTTGCAGAAAACTTGAGTCAAAAACATTCTGGAACTTAAAAAAGCAGTTAAGGGCCTCCAGAAGTGACTTACCCCTGGTAATAAAAGCACTGCCAAAACATCTCAGAGACTTTTTAAATATGTGTACTGGAGTTCAAAGATATTGAACTTACTTGTTTAATGTAATTTCACAATGACCTGCCAAACTACTAGTCACTTTACATCCTCAGGTATTGTAACCACTGGGCCTTCCAACCTTGCTGGCAAGTTCTGAATAATCTCTCCCCATCCTGTGGATCTTATATAAAATATGATGAAAAAACTTCTAAGTACAGAATTTGACTCATACTTGAAAAAAAGTTTCCTTTTAACTTATCTAACATTTGTGAATTACTGAATGACTTATTAATCTCCAAATTAGTTGATACCCCATCTGTACTTCCTATTAAAAGGCCTACTTGAAGACTTAGTGATATACAAAAATTCTTACCAGATGTATTCCTTTCATCACTGAATATTAGACTAAGCCAACAGTAAAGGCCTCAATCTAAATATTATCCCTTCATATTGAAAAGAACTACTATTTCAAATATCCCATCACCTCAATAATTATCACAAAAATGGAAGAAAATAGTGATGCCACCCATAAAGGAAACCTGTTTCATCTGTACTATAGTGGTAGATGTGTTCATTACAGAATTTTACATTTTTTCAGCAAGCCACAGTGCAGCCAAAACCTACAATATCCTTAAAGATAACTGAAAATAAACTATGAAAATGGATGGACATTTCTAATAGTGTGAAAGAAACTCGCAAAAAACTTTAACATCCATCTGTGTCAGTCATCACCCTTTCCCCTGGGTTTTTTGCTTTAACCCCAAGTCCTAAATGTCAGAATAGTGTCCCTGCCAACCTGCTTTGGTTCCCCCTTACAGATGTGAAAGTCAAAAAATGAAATAAACTTTGGGCTATGGTAGGCAAAAAGTAGAGATAAGTGCAATTTAGGAAATGTACCACCAACTGGTACAGTAAGTTTTTTTTTTTTTTTTCAGTATCCTCTGTTGCCTGTTATTTTACTTTTCATATCAGAATTAATCTTCCATTTAATGGTTACAGAAAGTGATAAATATTAAAATTTGGCATCTAATAGTTCACAAACTAAAAGCTTAAAAATGACTAAATTTTTAGGAAACACTACATGTAATAACCCAAACACACCAGTAAATTAGGATTAAAAGTATCTGTGATACGTTAAGTTTACCATCTATTCCATCCACCCTTTACCAGGGAGAGAAAGCAATTACTTAAATTTCAGATTAAAATATTAAAAAGGTAGTATTTTTCTTAGAAGCCAGATATGGTTTAAAGGTTTTATTATTCATAATGATCTAAACTATTTCTAAGACTCATCAGCAAAAAGTAAAAAAATTTTATTTTCTAATATACATTTTTTTTTTTAATACTACTTGGCTTTTACCTTGTATTTCCTTACTGAAATCCTCTTGCTTTTACTTTGGTCTGTATTTGGTTTCAAAAGTCTGTAATTACTATAAAAAGTAACAGCTACCAATATCATTCAAGATAAAGCTATTTTAATTTAGGTTACCCAAACTATCATATTTTCAGACACAAGTGTTTCACTGTAGTCCTTTCTTAAGAGTTGAATGCAAGAAATGTGAATTCCAAGGAATTAGGACAGTATATATTTGACTTCCCGATAAAGATCTCACTGAATATAATCATTACTGCCCAACTGGAAATTTCAAGTTTTTACAATATCCCAGGCTGCTTAATAAAAGTTAAATTGAGGGTTATCATGGTGTTAATGTTGTTCAATGAAAAATGAGTTTCATAGCAAAACATTGCCAACGTACTCAAACTAATGAAATTCTGTGTATTTTCCCTGCATTTTATCTATGTCATTGTGTATGATTCAAAGTGTTTATAAAATTCTAGATTGATTAAATGAGGTAAGTCACTGCTCAACTTTTGGAAATGTCATGAAAGTGTGTTTGGGTGGAGAAACCTGCATGATTTAACTTGTTTTTGTTTTTCCCTTTTTGCAAAACTAAATAAAGAGACAAGTTGTCAAATATGAACCACATTCACTAAGGTAATCACTACACACCTTTGGTTTTATTCACACTTGCACCTCATTTTTATATTTGAAAGAGTAACATTGTAAACAAACTTGAGTTTCAAAGAATAACTCTTTGAACCCCTGGGAAAATCATAAAGGAATTTCTAGAAGGATAACACAACCTCATAACTGAGAAGTTATTTTCTTTGGGGGGATAAGGAAGAGGACTAGATACAGGGAATGAGAAGTTCACAGGGATCAAAAGGGACTTTAGCCTTATGTACTTTTAGCCTTATATATAATGTATTCTTTTAAAAGAATGTGTAATTGTTATTTAGGTACCTAAAACCTAATTTTTTAGAAAGGAGGGAGAAAAGTTAAACTATCATCCAAGTATTAGATTCTGACTCTATACTTTCAACTTAGTATTTTCTAAAACATTTTGTATTTGTTACCTATGATATGGGAAAGGAAATTTTATTTTTCATCTGTTGTAAAACTTTTACTTTTCTTCAGCAAGGTCACCATATAGTTGTTTCAAGAATACTAAGATCACAGTAAAATAAAAGGAATTCTTTATCCTAGGAGCATATTATAGCTCTGCACAGAAATGTAGACTTACTGAAGCTAACCAAAAAGATAAATCACCAAGTTCTAACACTTCTATCATTTGATGTATGTTAATAACAAAGACTCGAAAGAACAAATGAAAATGTGTCATATTAAAAGTTGTTATTGTTTTGATGGTTTCAAATCCTGATAAAGTCAATCCAGTTACGGCAGTAATAATTTCTCAATCATCCCTAGTTAGCCATTGGTCAGCATTCCTAAATAACTCATGGTATAAAGAAAAACAATGCAAAAATCAAGGCACTGTATTATTCTTCCCCAAATGTATATAATATAGGCCATTCAGAGCATACTATCCCAAACTCCTCAGTATTCTACAACATAGAATTAGAAAACTAATATTTATTGATAGATTTAAGTGTAATACAGGTTTCCAAAAATGTGGCAGTGAGAATACCAGCATAAAAAAGAGAAACTTGTGCTAAAAACAACCTGAATTAATCATTGGCAATATTACATAACAATCAAGGCCCTCACATACTAATGATTTCCAATTTGTCTATATTGCCAACCTCCCATGCATCAAAAAACACAAAACTAAAATTATCAAACTTGGGAAGAAATAAAGTACTCTGAATTTTAAGATCATAATATTAGGAAAGTTTGGGAGATTTGCAAAATATATCCTAATCATCCATGTGTACAATCTCATTTCTAGTCATTTTTGCAGTGATCATTAGTGAATAAAGAACAGATTTACAAGTTTATATAGCAGGGCATCTGGGTTCAACACAAAACTGTTACAAACTTTAGGCAAATACATGTTTCATAAGACACTGCTAACACTTAGAGGAATTAAATAAAAGTCCAAAACTTGGAAAGCAAATAAAGACAAGACAACTAAGAAGCATTTTCCACCATTTACTCTTGTTATCAAAAATAGTTCAACTCTTCTTGCAAAACAAAAACAAAATAGTACATACTGGACACATACATCACATTTTTCTTCCTATGGCTTTAGCCCACCCCCACCCCACCGAAAGAGACAAAAAAAAAAAAAAAAAAAAAGAAAGCCCAACAAAAAAAAAAATTCTACCTGACCACATTCACAGAAAATGACACCAGGATACACTACAAAACAGAAGGAGGTGTCATCTGCTCTGTGTCCAAAGGTTTCTTCTCCATGTCTTGTACTAAGTGAATAACCATCATTGAACATGCTGTGTGCCAAATCAAAACATAAACTTTAACATATGTCAGATCTCATGAGAGATGGTGAACGTAGTAGAAATTAGAAATTTTCCAGCAGTATTTTTCTTTAAGCACTGTCAAAGCAGCAATTCTTCTTTTAAATCATAAGGTCATTTCTTTACAACCTAGTCAGTCCTTGTTTTATTTGGGCTGTGCTCTTTCAAGCAACTGACTAGATTTCCCTTCAACAGAATGTTTGTGACTCACTTGTCTTCCCCATTAAAAATTAAAGGGAAGACATGCATTTAAACTGAAACATAGTTTGTGCTTTACATGCAAAAGAGCATTCTAAAGAAAATCCTCCTAGCTTCAAACCTACCTAAATGCACAGGCTTCATAAAAATGCATTTTTTATTTGGCCTCTATAAAGAAGCCTTCATAATGAATAGCACCCCAAAAAAGAGAAAAGGAGCATATTCAAAATAAAGTCTGAAACTATTAGAGGAAACAAACAACAACAAAAAAAATCAAATAAGTGGCCAATAGCAATAAATATAATGCATAAACCTGGGTAAGTTTTGGGGCATTATTTCAAAATTATTTTAAATAAATCCCAATTTCTAAATAAAAATTATTTTTTTTAAATTCTGTCACATCCTATAGTCTAAATTCAATTACCTTCAGAATAAAACTGCTCTTCTCCACTTCATTTATCTAATTAGAACACTGCTAAAAGTGAAGGATTTCAAAATTTTTTCCCTAGAAATGAGTCAGACTAACTATAAAAGTTATTCAAACTCAGAATGGTCATAAACAGCTATAAACATCTGCATCTTGACAGAATTTCAGTTTGTTCACTTTTTAAAAGACCGATTTCAACATTCTAATGAGGGGCAAATTTTCTTTCATAATACTGCTGATTTAAGAACTGCTACATACACCAGTAGCCAATTTTCATGATCAGAAATGGTATTATGTCAGCACAAAGGTTGAGCCAGACACATCAGCTTTTCAACAGGAGAAGCATCAATGGCATCTGAAGGCGGCACTGAGTCCCCTGAACTAATGGCTACTTTTTCACAAAAAATTAGCACAATCTTTATGGACTGACTAGATACCACTTCCTTACATTTAATCATAAACTTTGATTATGCACAAAGCATGACCATAAACAATGAGGTTAATGTTATTTTCCTTGCCAAAGTTCATTTTGTATAAATCAGTTGCATCAGCATTTGTTCTCAAACTATGAGGTTCTGTAAGAACTAAGGACATATAGTTGTAGGGTTACTCCTCCATTATCTGCAAACTATTTCCCCGACACTAACACATATAACTTAGCAATGAAAACACTTGATACAAGTGATCTATATGCAGGAGCTCCGGCAAGTTAAACCAACAAAACCATAGCTGCCGTAAAACTGTAGCTATTTCCCTACCAGAGGTAGGTTTAAAGACCCACTGATTTAACAGTCGAATCTCATGTCTATAGCTTCATCCAAACTTTTATCATCATGTGTACTGGCAGCTAAAAACGTTGTTACTGGGGACCCTGTGACATTAATTACACTGGTGCTGGTACTGGCATTGCGCACAGCAATGCTAGTCACATTAATGCCCAAAGTGAGCCTGGTCTGCTCCAAGGCCTTTTCCGGCACAGCAAATGCCTCCAGCTTCTTCTCCCCATTGGCCATATAGGAGTTTTGGCAGCCCCGACATATACAATCTAAGCAGGCTTTGCGGTTAGAGTAGCAAGGGCAGCGTTGGCCGCGGCATGTAAGAACACTTGGATTTTGAGTAGCACGCCCACATTTACAACCTTTCTTTTCCTGGGGTTTTTTATACACAGTCTTGGTAGGACTTCCTGGCATAAAATGGTGACTAGGAATCTTTTCCTTTACGGTTTTGTCTTTTTTAAGAATACCTGGCTTGGTTTTAGAGTGAGATTTCTTGGATCCATGTTCATGACTCTTTTTCATGCTTTTAGTAGATAAAAGTACAGTTTTGCTGATTTTGGGTGTTGTGCCTCCATTGGGAACAGTTGCTATAGGTTGAAGAGAAATTTTGCTCTCCCGTTTCACTGTCACAGGGGCAGATGCCCCCAACGTTGGGCCTCGGATAATGGTAGAAATTGGAAGTGGCTGAACTTTCTCACTGTCACTTTCTGATCTGGATCGTTTTCTATTCAATTTTGCTACTTTCGGAGTTGCTGCTGTACATGATAACCCATGAAGTGCAGGACTGGTGGACATAAAAACATTATGGCTAAGAGACTGGGAAGAAAGCTGCAGAAAAGGTCCATTGGATACAGTGGCTTCCAAGTTGGGCTGCAAATTAGGGCAACAAACCTCTGTATTTGAAACAGTTTCTAAGCTGCGGAGCACTTCCTCAACACTCAGTAACAGAGAGTCACCAGGTTTTATATCTTCACTGAAACTGCAGATATCAATGCCTGTGGAGCATAAGTCAGTGGCTACTGTGTCACAGACAGGTGGCAAGCTGTCAGACAGATCCTCAGTCTTTATGTCAACAGTGTTACATACATCAATTGTGTTTGAATGTTCAGGTGAAGGAATATTTATACCAAATCTATCTATTGAAAGCCCATTATAAGTAGGCAAACCATTGATAACAGAACTGCCAATAGCAATGCTGAGGGTGCTTTCAGATATTGGAGATAAACTAGCTTGAGGATCAGTTGTGGGTTCTGAGGTTGAAGGTAAAGGGGAATGTGTTAAACACAAAGTAAAGGATGAATCTGAGGGTTTTTCCGTCTCCTCACAAAACAATGATCCATCATTAAGCAAAGCCAAAATATCAGAAGAACAGTCGACTGCTTCTATTATATCCCGTGCCAATGTAGTCTGTGTGATATATTCACATAGTTTTTTGTAGCAGTTCACTAGGATGCTTAACTGCTTGTTTTCCTCAAATTGCTCATAGTCTTTGCACCAGCTACATGAAGGTTTCATCATCATTTTCTTGCCTTTACAAGGTTTGCAGACATAATGTTGGCAGGTGGAGTTGGTGGGTGCAATAGGATCTTGTAGCAAATGTCCTAAGAGGGAAAAAGGAGGAAAGCAAAGATTTTAGTAAAATAAATATACGATTTCATATATTGAAGTTAAGATGAGATTATAAGTAATCTATTAAAATTGAGGTGGGTTAAACTCACCAGACCAGATAACAAAAAATATATCTTACAGGAAATGGAAAAATACTCAATAGTGCACTTCACTTCCATGCCATATTCCCCATTCCTTTATCTCAAACCAGAATCTCCTTGATTCTGTATTTCTCTCCCAAACCATATGTTCTGGTCCACGTTCTTATCCTCTTCTCCAAAAGCTATAAGAGGTGAAGATCAGTCACCAAAAGCACAAACTTGGCTTAAAACCCTTGGAATCTCAACCTAACACAACACGGTAATGCTACAATATACTGAACAAAATCATGCTGTTTATTTTGTATTAAACACTGGGAAAAAGATAGGAGCAAGAGACACTCAGTCCCTACCCTCATTAAACATAGTTTAAGGGTATTAATCAGTACAAAGGCATCTTCACCAAAAAAAGTATAATTTCAAAAACCATTTTATTATATATACTAATCTAAAACTGAAAAGATTGAAATGTTATGATGAAAAAGAACGATGTTCATTTATTGAAAGAAAAAATAAACTTAAACTCTCCTACAAAAAAATCAAAATGCAATGACAAAAAAGAATTATATATAAATGTGGGCGCCTGGGTGGCTCAGGCGTTAAGCGTCTGCCTTCGGCTCAGGTCGTGATCCCAGGGTCCTGGGATCAAGCCCCGCATCGGGCTCCCTGCTCCTTGGGAGGCTGTTTCTCCCTCTGCCTTTCTCTCTCGCTCTGTCTCTCATGAATAAAAAAAAAAAAAATTATAAATATATCAAAAGGAAAAAAGGGCATACTACCAGACTCAAATTCTTCTGACAAAATACAAAATGACCCTAGTCATAAACCACAAGTATCCTAAGTACAGCAATATCATATAAAAGTGAAAGTGGTCTCCCAAATTATAAATGACCTGTGTAGATTATGTACCAGGAAAGAGAGAGCAACTAGATCCAATCGCTATTTCCACCCTACTCCACAAAGAAGCAACTGTTCTTGGTTCCCAATTCAGGACAAACAGTAATAAACTCAAAGTAGCACCTGTTTCTCAAACAAAATTATGTAATTAAGACTCAGGCATGGGGGGCGCCTGGGTGGCTCAATCGTTAAGCGTCTGCCTTCGGCTCAGGTCATGGTCCCGGGGTCCTGGGATCGAGCCCCCCATCGGGCTCCCCGCTTGGCGGGAAGCCTGCTTCTCCCTCTCCCACTCCCCCTGCTTGTGTTCCTGCCCTTGCTCTCTCTCTCTCTAAAAGGAAAAAAAAAAAAAAGACTCAGACATGGGAAAGAAGACACTTTGGGCTACAGCCAAGTGAGATCAGCAAACCCTCTCCCTTAAAAGCAACTATAAACCTGAAAATTTTTGACAAAGCAAGTCATTTTCACAACCAAAGACATAAAACCATTTGAGAAGCATTTATATGTTTGAAAAACTGCTCAATTTCAGGTAACAACAGTGAGAATCTGTGGTGTTCTAGTCTGGGGCTGCCCAGTTCTCCCCTGCCATCTGTTCCATCAGTATTACCCTGAAGACCAGAAGCTGCTGTGATGGAAGGGGGCTCACTCCATTTAGTAGTGCAGAGGATGATGCAGAGCCCCAGAAACATGATCACTGAAAAGTGACTTCTCAGAGGCTAACCAGCTGGAGAAGGCAAACAGCTCAGTTCTTACTATCCTGAGATTGCAAAAGCCCAGGTTAAACAGGCCACAAACAAGATGACAATTTACCCCAAGTTGATCTATAAATTCAATGTAATCTTTGAGAATCCCAGGTGTCTTTTTAAAGAAACTGACTGATTCTAAAATTCTTACGGAATCAGAGGACCTAGTATAGCCAGAACAATTTTTTAAAAGAGCAAATTTGGAGGAATTTCACTACCAAATTTCAAAATCTTCTTTAAAGTTATAGTAATCAAAACAATGTGGCAATGGCAAAAGGATAAACATATAAATCAATGGAACAGAACAGAGAGTCCAGAAAGAAATTCTTACATTTATGGTCTACTGATCTGTGTGACGAGTGCCCAGATAATTCAACAGGGAGAGAATTTCCCGCACATCATGTCGAACAATTTGATATCCAAATGCCAAAAAACAAAAAACCAACAACTACTTAGATCCTTACCTAACAACATGCACAAACATTACCTCAAAATGGATCACAGACATCTAAATGTAAGACCTAAAATTCTAGAAGAAAAACACAGGAGAAAAATCATGACTCTGGGCCGGGCAAAGTGTTCTATGTGACATCAATGCACAATCTGTGAAAGGGAAAAAATTATAAAATGGATTCCACAAAATTAAAAATGTGTGCTTCAAAAGACACCATTAAGAAAACAAAAAGATAAGGGTGCCTGGGTGGCTCTGTCAGTTAAGCATCTGCCTTCGGCTCAAGTCATGATCCCAGGGTCCTGAGATCAGGCCCCACATCAGGCTCCTTGCTCAGTGGGGAGTCTGCTTCTCCCTCTGCCTGCCCCTCTGCCTGCTTGTGCACGCTATCAGATAAAATCTTTTTAAAAAAAAAAAGAAAATGAAAAGATAATCCACAGTATGCGAAAAAATATTTGCAAATCATTTATCTGATAAAGGGCTTATAACATGATATTAAAAACACTTCCTACAAATCAATAAAAAGACAACTCAATTTTAAAAAGTGGGCAAAAGAACTACTGGGTATTTACCCCAAAGATACAAATGTAGTGATCCGAAGGGGCACATGCACCCCAATGTTTATAGCAGCAATGTCCACAATAGCCAAACTATGGAAAGAGCCTAGATGTCCATCAACAGATGAACGGATAAAGAAAATGGTGAGAGAGTGTGTGTGTGTGTGTGTGTGTGTGTGTGTGTGGAATATTATGCAGCCATCAAAAAAATGAAATCTTGCCATTTGCAACAACGTGGATGGAACTAGAGAGTATTATGCTAAGCAAAATAAGTCAATCAGAGAAAGCAAGTATCATATGATCTCAATGATATGAGGAATTTGAGAAACAAGACAGAGGATCATAGGGGAACGGAGGGAAAAATGAAACAAGATGAAACCAGAGAGGGAGACAAACATAAGAGACTCAATCTCAGGAAACAAACTGAGGAATGCTGGCATGCAGGGGGGTGGGAGGGATGGGGTGGCCAGGTGATAGATACTGGGGAGGGTATGTGCTATGGTGAGTGCTGTGAATTGTGTAAGACTGATGATATAGACCGGTACCCCTGAAACAAATAATACACTATATGTTAATTGGGGAAAAAAAAAAACCTAAATAAAAATAATAAAAGGATTCAGGAAAAGAAATAAATAAAAGTGGGCAAAAGACCTGAATAAACACTGCATCAAAAAAATATGAGTGTCTAATAAGCATATGAAAATATGGTCAATATCATTAAGTAAAGTAAAACCTTACCACACTGCTTACACACCTCTTAGAATGGATAAATTCAAAATGGACAGTATACCAACAGTTGGCAAAGATGTGGAGAAACTGGAACCCTTCTGTATTACTGGTGAGAATGTAAAAGTGTAGATCACATTGAAAAACAGTTTGAAAGTTAAACATACATTTACTATACAAACCAGCAATTCTGCTCCTAGGAAAAGGAGCTTTCATCTCTCAAAGAAAAATGAAAATATATGTCCATATAAATGTATGTGAAATATGCATAGCTGCATTATTCACAAAAGACAAAAACTGGAAACAATCCAAATGTCCATCAACCCATGAGAAGATAAAATGTAGTATATTCATACAATGGAATACTGTTCAGCAATTAAAATAACTATTGGTAAATGCTACAATATGATTAACTTCAAAAGCATGCCAAGTGAAAGACGACAGATGCAAAAGAGTACATTATTGGATTATTTCATTTATATAAAATGTCTAGAAAGGACAGAAAAGCAGAACTAGTTGTTGTCCAGGGCTGGGACCAGGAGCAGGGATTAACTGTAAGGGCGCACAATGGAACTTTCAGCAGCGATGAAAATGTTCTAATATCGTATCAAGGTGATGGTTGCACAACTCTAAAATCTTTAAAAAAAAAAAAAAACAAAACAAAACTTAAGCACCAATAGTTATGAAATCCAACCTTCTACCTAATACAGGAATTCTTAGAGTACCCTTGACTTTATTTAAGGAAGGACGTAGGGGATATGAAAATATAGATATATATGTATGCACTTTTTTGTTTTGTTTTGTTTTTAAGATTTTATTTATTTGACAGAGAGACGCACAGCGAGAGAGGGAACACAAGCAGGGGGAATGGCAGAGGGAGAAGCAGGCTCCCCCCACTGAGCAGGGAGCCCGATGCAGGGCTCAATCCCAGGACCCTGGGATCCTGACCTGAGCCTAAGGCAGACGCTTAACAACTAAGCCACCCAGGAGCCCCCATATGTATGAACCTAAAGAATAAAACGTTAAGGTTAAAAAAATACATATTGGGAAGGAGAGATTGAACAAAGTAAAAAAGGAAAGGACTAGGCTGACTATTCTGGGTTTAACTTGTTTTGTAGCTTTTAACTCTCAAACCATATAAATATTTTACCTAATTTTATTAACAGACTAAAATTTTAAAAGAAACCCCTAGGGGCACCTGGGTGGCTCAGTTGGTCTGCCTTCGGCTCAGGTCCTGGTCTCAGGGTCCTAGGATCAAGCCCCATGTCGGACTCCCTGAGCCCCTTCTCCTTCTCCCTCTGCCCCTCTCCCCTGCTCGTGCTCTCTCTCAAATAAAATCTTTAAAAAATAAATAAATAAAAGAAACCCGTAAAAATGAAAAGCAAAGTAACTTTAATTTTATATAAAATTGATGGTTTAACCACTCAGAGATTAACTATTTTTTTTTTAAGATTTTATTTATTTATTTGTCAGAGAGATAGAACACAAGAAAGGGGAGCAGGAGGCACAGGGAGAAGCAGGCTCCCC